TTCATTCTCGTTCATTATCACAGCCTCCCTAGGGTCCTGCTCCCTCAGGTGATTCCCAGGTAGACCCCGTCGAGCCTGTCGAGGTAGCTGTCGACTCTGGTCCTGCGCGAGGTACTGAGCCTGAGCGTGCTGAGCCTGGTGGTGCTGGGTCTACGGGTACTAAGACTGGGGGTGCTGAGCCTGGGGGTGCGGAGACTGGGGGTGCTGAGCCTGGGGGTGCGGAGACTGGGGGTGCTGCGCCTAGGGGTGCTGTGCCTGGGGGTGTTAAGCCTGGAGGTCCTGAGCCTGGGGGTGCTGCGCGTGGGGGCGCTCTCTTTTCCTAGCAGCTGCGTGAGTGGTACTCTCGGTACTGTCGCCGCCGACGTGGTGCTGTGGGAGCTGGAGGTGCTACTGGAGCTGGAGCTGAGGGTGCTGAGTCTAGTGGAGTTGGGGTGGCTGCTGACCCTGGGGTTGGCGCTGGAGGTGCTGGAGCCACTGGTCCTAGAGGTGCTCATACTGGCGGTACTGGAGCTACTGGGACTGGAGGTGCTACTGGAGCTGCTGGAGGTGCTACTGGTGCTGGGGCGAGTGGTGCTGCAGGGACTAGAGCTCGAGGCGCTGACACTCATCCTACTGGCGATGCTGGAGCCGATGGTGCGGCTGGAGCTGGTGCTCCTGGGGGTATAGGAGTTGGCGCTACTGGAGCTGCTGGTGGTGCTGCAGGAGTTGGAGCTGCCGCTGGGGGTTCTGGTGCTGTCTCTGCTGGTTCGGGGGGCACTCCACGGCCGCGGGCGTACTTCGTTCCGCTCCCTCAGCAGGTTCTTGGTCAGCCGTCTGCTGCTTTTCCTGCTCCCTCTTTAGAGTGTCCTCCGCCTGTCCGGTCGCAGTCACAGTTACAGCCTGCCTCGCCACTCCCTGGTCCTTCTCTCTACACTGGTCCGACAGGAGGTCTTACGGAGCGTCGTGAGCCTGAGTCTCGTCCTGCGTCGCCTGTTCGTGCTGCTCGCACTGGTCGTCGTGTCCCGCGTCAGCGTCCTCCCGCTGTCCCAGGCACGCACCAGATGACGCTTCGTCTTTCCACTGCTCCACCGCGTGTCCCTCTGCCTTCTCCTCCTGCGTCCTCTCTTCCTCCTCTTGTTGACCCGGAGTTTGACTCCCTTCGTGCTGCTAGTCCTACTGTCACGCGTCTCCTGGCATCTGTAGTCACTGACCCTTCCTTTGAGTCCACAGCTGCGTCTGCCTTAGTTGATGAGCTTGTCGACTTTGCTGCTCACTGTCGTCTAGACTACGCCGCGAGTCTTGTTGCTGAGTCTGAGTGGTCCTTACCCAGAGCTAGTTGGCTGCCTCATTTACCTGATGACTTGCACTCATCCTGACCTCGCGTACCCTCTTGGCCTTCTGGCTCGCTACGTGGCTCCTGGTTGGCACCGAAAGGTGCACATGGATGCTGTTAAGAGGGTACTGTGCTACTTGTGCAGTACATCAGGCATGGGGCTCGTGCTTGGAGGGAGGAGTTCAGTTGTTCTTATTGGGCACTCAGACGCTTCTTGGGTTGACGACCAGGCTACACAGCGATCGTCACAGGGTTACACCTTCAGCCTTGGCTCTTGTTCAGTTTCTTGGCGTTCTACACGCTCGTCTTCAATTCTCAGCTCTAGTTGTGAGGCTGAGATCTACGCCACAGCTATGGCTGCCCAGGAGTTACGCTGACTCACCTACCTGCTAACCGACTTGGGAGAGCGGCCTCGTTCTCCTCCAGTGCTGTACGTCGACAACAAGGCTGCCATTGCCTTGTGTGAGGAGCACAGACTGGAGCACAGAACGAAGCACATCGCCTTGCGTTACTTCCTGGCTCGAAAGTTGCAGCAGCGTGGTCAGCTTCGTCTTGCTTACGTGGCCACTCGGGCCAACACTGCTGATTTATTCACCAAGGCACTTTAGTCTGGTGATCATCAGCGTTTCTGCACTATGTTAGGGCTTGTGCCCACTTTTCCTCACTTGCTGTAGGCTTTGCTTGTACTGTGATCTATATATATACCTGCATGTTTGCTTGGCTAGGTAGAGATCACTGTAGTGTTTGTGTTACATATATGCCTCTGCATGTGAACTGGCCTTGTGGCCCTTTGCTTGTGCTCATTGAGTGTGGTGACGTTGTGATCCACCCTGAGCTTGCTTTGCCTTTCTTGACTGATCTTGTGACCCCCTGCTCTCCCCCACTTTGCCTATGGGGGTGTGTCAAATGTTATATCTGCTATAGTCTGTTTAGGCTGTAGTGGGGTAGTTCCTATGGGGTACAACAATTCTTGGTTTTCCTACTTGTACCCACCACTTCTCTAGTGCAATCATCCTTCTTTATTCTAACAGTGAGCATGCGTCTCGTCCTGCGTCGCCTGTTCGTGCTGCTCGCACTAGTCGTCGTGGTTCGCGTCAGCGTCCTCCTCCTGTCCCTGGCACGCACCAGATGGCTCTGCGTCCTTCCACTGCTCCGCAGCGTGTCCCTCTGCCGTCTCCTCTTGCGTCCTCTCTTCCTGTCGGTCCGGACCCAGAGTCTGACTCCCTTCGTGCTGCTAGTCCTACTATCACGCGTCTCGTGGCCACTGTTGTCACTGACCCTTCCATTGTTGCTGAGTCTGATTCTTGTTGCTGCGTCTGCTCTTGTTGCTGAGCTTGTCGACTTTGCTCCTTGCTGTCGTCTAGACTACGCCGCTAGTCTTGTTGCTGAGTCTGAGTCTGTCTGTCCTCCGTCCGTCGAGGGTGAGTGTGCCCTTAGCACGGATGTCCTTGAGGACAGGCAGGAGTTCCAGTGTTTTGCTGCTGCTTCACCTCATCTCATGTCCATGCTGCTTGCCCCTGAGGGAGACCCGGATGCACCAAACATCCCGACTCCGCGCTCTTACGCAGAGGCGGTTGAGGGTCCCTACTCCTCTCAGTGGCAGACAGCCATGGACGCAGAGATGGCTTCCTGGAAGTCCACAGGCACCTATGTCGCGGAGGTTTCCCCACCTGGGGCGAACATTGTCGATGGCATGTGGATTTTTAGGGTGAAGTGGCCGCCGGGTTCTCCGCCTGTCTTCAAGGCACGTTACGTGGCTCGATGCTTCACTCAGCAGCAGGGAGTTGACTACTTTCAGACCTTCTCTCCCACCCCGAAGATGACGACTCTTCGGGTACTGTTGCATGTCGCTGCTCAGCGTGATTACGAGCTTCACTCTCTTGACTTCAGCACAGCCTTCCTACAGGGCAGCCTGCACGAGGAGATCTGGCTGCGCCACCCACCTGTGTGAGGATTTGGGATCGAGCTCAGAAAAGATGATTCAAATTGAATTGAATGATCACCTGGGTACAACACGAGGCTATATATAGGCTCGACACAAGGCCTCGTAACCAGGTGTTACGCGGGTCGCGAAGCGTCCCGAACAGATCCTTACCGAATTCAGTAAAAGGCAATTCGGTGGCAACCGAAAAGCCAGAATTCGGTGCACGCAACCTAGCTCGGTGCTATAACTATAATAAAATATAGGAAAGCACCTAGCCTAGGAAATCAAGCAATTCATGCATGCATATGATTATCCTATGCTAGAAATAGCATGATAAAGTAGAGGCAAGCAAGCATAGCTGGCATAAGCCGTCGTACTCTCACAACCTGGCTTCACTGGGTCGTTCCCTCCAGGTACCTAGTGGAGCCTCCGGCGGCCAGTCTACGGTCTCCGCCAGGCGCCTCGGGAGTGGCACGACATACTGAGGACGACTCTTGGGGCTCTTGGGTTTGCTCCTTCTACAGCTGACCCGCCGCTGTTTGTACGCACCAACATTTCGCTGCCGCCGTTCTACATCCTCGTATACGTCGATGACTTGGTTTTTGCCACTGCTGACACTCAAGCACTTACTCTAGTGAAGTCGGAGCTGCAAAAGAGACACACGTGCACAGACCTGGGTGAGCTGCGCAGCTATCTGGGCTTGCAAATCACCCAAGACACAGCACGCCGCACCATCACCCTGACTCAGTCACACATGGTGCACCAGGTCCTTCAACACTCCGACTTGGCAGTACTCCTCGCCACAGTCCACTCCTCTGCCTACCGGTCACTCGCTCTCAGCTCTGCCTTTGGATGAGTCCGTAGAGTCGAGTGGCCCGTATCCAGAGCTTGTGGGCTGCCTCATGTACCTGATGACCTGACCTCGTCCTGATGACCTGGCACGCTACGTTGCGCCTGGGAGACACCGGCCAGCGCACTGGAAGGCAGCTAAGAGGGTGATGCGCTACTTGTGCTGTACGTCGAGCATGGGGCTCGTGCTTGGAGGACGGGGTCCAGTTGTTCTCACTGGTCACGCAGACGCTTCTTGGGTTGACGACTTGGCTACGCAGCGGTCGTCACAGGGTTACACCTTCAGCCTTGGCTCCGGTTCTGTCTCGTGGCGGTCTACCCGCTCGTCTTCTGTTCTCAGCTCCAGCTGTAAGGCTGAGATCTACGCAAGGGCCATGGCTGCACAGGAGCTACGCTGGCTCACCTACCTGCTGACCGACCTGGGCGAGGCGCCTCGTTCTCCTCCAGTTCTGCATGTCGACAACAAGGCAATGCTCGCCTTGTGTCGTGAGCAGAGAGTGGAGCACAGAACGAAGCACATCGCTCTTCGCTACTTTCTTGCTCGAGAGTTGCAGCAGCGTGGTCAGCTTCGTCTTGTTTACGTGGCCTCTCAGACCAACACGGCTGATATCTTCACCAAGGCACTTCAGCCTTGTGATCATCAGCGGTTCTGTATTGTTCTAGGCCTTGTCCCCACTTGGCATCACTTGCTCACTTCTTGACTTTGCTTGTACTGTGATCTCTATACATATACCTGCAAGCTTACACTTGCTAGGTTGTGATCACTGTCTTGTTTGTTCTACCTTATATAACTCTGCATGTGAACTGGCCTTGTGGTCGTTTGCTTGTGCTCGGAATGTGTGGTGACGTCGTGATCCACCATGAGCTTGCTTTGCTCTTCTTGACTGATCTTGTGACCTTTTTTTCTCCCCACTTATGGCAATTTTAAGCCCGAGTTCTACATGGCAATTTTCAAGATTCCTGAATATGAACTCGCAAAAAACCATGTTACGACCACCCGAAGTGGAGGATATCCGTCGCGGTCCAGAGGGGAGGTTTTGCGACGTTGTTCCATGATTGGCCAGCGACAAAACCAGTCATTCCGAGTAAAGGGTCGGAGGGCAATGGAGCACTGTTCAGTTTCAGTGCTTGAAAACCATGTACTACTAAATGGCAGGCATATTGACATACTACGTTTACTTAGTTCACCCGTTTTTCACGCCCAAACTTTCTCCGTATCACTCCTTTTCTCCGTAGCAGCTGTATCAGTACAGCAGCCTATTTGGTGACAAATACGAACAGCCAATCATAAAACCAGTCGGAGATGTCCCATTTATACAATAACTAGAGAGCTCACATGCGTGTGCGGTGCGCACCCAACCGGATATAGTTACTCGCGCGACGCCAACACGTGCCTGCACGTCACAATTCCATCCACCCCCCCGGCGTCTAACCCGGGTTGCGCATCTAGACGGTTGCACGGTCGAGGGTCAAGTATATCCCTTCCGACTGTTGCTCTCCCTTCCGCCGTCGCTCTCCCTTCCGCCCGTCGCCCTTCTTTCCCCCTCGTCGCCCTGCCTTCCGTCCGTCGCCCACCCTTGTTCCCGTCGCCCTCCCTTCCCGTCGGCCTCCCTTCCCGTCGCCCTCCCTTCCCGTCGCCCGCGCTTCTTCCCGTCGCCCTCCCTTCCCGTCGCCCGCGCTTCTTCCCGTCGCCCTCCCTTCCCGTCGCCCTCCCTTCCCGTCGCCCTCCCTTCCCGTCGCCCTCCCTTTTCCCGTCGCCCTGCCATCCACTCCCCGTCGCCCTCGCCTTCCCTCCCGTCTCCCTTCCCATCTCGCACACTTGTCACCCTCTCTTTTCTCTCCCTACTCCCTCTTTTCCCTCCCTCCAATAATCGCCTTCCTTCCCCCAACTTATACCCCTTCCCTGCTTCCCCCCATCCCCTGCCCTACTTCCCCCCATCCTCTTCATTCTTTCCCCGTATCCCCAGCCCTGCTTCCCCCCATCCCCTTCCCTGCTTCCCCCCATCTCCTTCCCTTCTTCCCCCCATCTCCGTCCCTGCTTCCCCCCATCCCCCTCCCTGCTTCCCCCCATACCCCTTCCCTGCTTCCCCCCATCCCCTTCCCTGCTTCCCCCCATCTCCATCCCTGCTTCCCCCCATACCCCTCCCTGCTTCCCCCTATCCCCTTCCCTGTTCCCCCCCATCCCCTTCCCTGCTCCCCCCCATCCCCTTCCCTGCTCCCCCCCATTCCCTTCCCTGCTTCCCTCATCCCCTGCCCTGCTTCCCCATGTCCCCTGCACTGTTTCCCCCAATCCCCTTCCCTTCTTCCCCCCATCTCCGTCCCTGCTTCCCCCCATCCCCCTCCCTGCTTCCCCCCATACCCCTCCCTGCTTCCCCCCATCCCCCTCTCTGCTTCCCCCCATACCCCTCCCTGCTTCCCCCCATCCCCTTCCCTGTTCCCCCCCATCCCCTCCCCTGCTTCCCCCCCATCCCCCTCCCTGCTTCCCCCCATCCCCTTCCCTGTTCCCCCCCATCCCCCTCCCTGCTTTCCCCCATCCCCTTCCCTGCTCCCCCCCATCCCCTTCCCTGCTCCCCCCCATTCCCTTCCCTGCTTCCCTCATCCCCTGCCCTGCTTCCCCATGTCCCCTGCCCTGCTTCCCCCAATCCCCTTCCCTGCTTCCCCCCATCTCCTTCCCTTCTTCCCCCCATCTCCGTACCTGCTTCCCCCCATCCCCCTCCATGCTTCCCCCCATCCCCCTCTCTGCTTCCCCCCATACCCCTCCCTGCTTCCCCCCATCCCCTTCCCTGTTCCCCCCCATCCCCTTCCCTGCTTCCCCCCCATCCCCCTCCCTGCTTCCCCCCATCCCCTTCCCTGCTTCCCCCCATCCCCTTCCTTGCTTCCCCCCATCCCCTTCCCTGCTTCCCCCCATCCCCTTCCCTGCTCCCCCCCATAATCTCTGCCCAGGTGTCCTTCCTATTCATTCTGTTCCGCCCACCCTCTCCCATTCTGTTCTGCCGCCATCTCTCATTCTTCCCACCCTCTCTCTCCCTCCTCCCGCACTCTCTCTCTCTCCTCGCACCCGCACTATCTCTCAGTTTCTGTTCGCCGCCCACGCTTCATCATAAACCGCCCACGCTTCCCTCGTCGTCCACGATTCCGCTCGTCGCCCTCCCTTCTTTACGCCGCGCACGCTTCCGTACCTCGCTCACGTTTCCTCCCGTCGCTTTCATCCATTCGCCGCACTCCCATCCGCTCGACGATCTCCCTTCCGCGCGTCTCCCTCCCTTCCGCGCGTGGCCCTCCCTTCCGCTCGTCGCCCTCCCTTCCGCACGTCGCCCTCCCTCCCGCCCGTCGCCCCGCCCATCCGCACGTCGCTCTCCCTCCCACTCGTTGCCCTCCTCCCAATGATCGCCAATCGGCCCCACGCTGCTTACCTCTCTCCCTCTTGCCCCCATCCCCTTCCCTGCTTCCCCCCATCCCCTTCCCTGCTTCCCCCCATCCCCTTCCCTGCTTCCCCCCATCCCCTTCCCTGCTTCCCCATGTCCCCTTCCCTGCTTGCCCCCATCCCCTTCCCTGCTCCCCCATGTCCCCTTCCCTGCTTGCCCCCATCCCCTTCCCTGCTCCCCCATGTCCCCTTCCCTGCTTCCCCCCATCCCCCTCCCTGCTTCCTCCCATCCCCTTCCCTGCTTCCCCATGTCCCCTTCCCTGCTTCCCCCCATCCCCTTCCCTGCTTCCCCATGTCCCCTTCCCTGCTTCCCCCATCCCCTTCCCTGCTTCCCCCCATCCCTTTCCCCGCTTGCCCCCATCCCCTTCCCCGCTTGCCCCCATCCCCTTCCCTGCTTCCCCCCATCCCCTTCTCTGCTTCCCCCCATCCCCTTCCCTGCTTCCCCCCATCCCCTTCCCTGCTTCCCCCCATCCCCTTCCCTGTTTCCCCATGTCCCCTTCCCTGCTTCCCCCCATCCCCTTCCCTGCTCCCCCATGTCCCCTTCCCTGCTTGCCCCCATCCCCCTCCCTGCTTCCCCCCATCCCCTTCCCTGCTCCCCCATGTCCCCTTCCCTGCTTTCCCCCATCCCCTTCCGTGCTTCCCCCCATCCCCTTCCGTGCTTTTCCCCCTCCCGTTTCCATCGCTTTCCCCCTCCCGTCGCCCTCGCTCTCCCCCTCCCATCGACCTCGCTTTCCCCCTGCTCACTCGCATTCCCCCTGCTCACTCTCTTTCCCCCTGCTCACTCTCTCCTCCTCACTCGATTCCCCCCTGCTCTATTCCCCCTGCTCTGTTCCACCCTGCTCACTCTCTCCTCCTCACTCTAATCCCCCCTGTTCTGTTCCCCCCTGCTCTATTCCCCCCCGCTCTATTCCCCCCTGCTCTATTCCCCCCTGCTCTATTCCCCCCCTGCTCTATTCCCCCCTGCTCTATTCCCCCCTGCTATATTCCCCCCTGCTCTATTCCCCCTTGCTCTATTCCCCCCTGCTATATTCCCCCCTGCTCTATTCCCCCCTGCTCTGTTCCCCCCTGCTATATTCCCCCCTGCTCTATTCCCCCCTGCTCTGTTCCCCCCTGCTCAATACCCCCCTGCTCTATTCCCCCCTGCTCTATCCCCCCCTGCTCAATACCCCCCTGCTCTGTTCCCCCCTGCTATATTCCCCCCTGCTCTATTCCCCCCTGCTCTGTTCCTCCCTCCTCTATCCCCCCCTCCTCTATTCCCCCCTGCTCTATTCCCCCCTGCTCTATTTCCCCCTGCTCAATACCCCCCTGCTCTATTCCCCCTTGCTCTATTCCCCCCTGCTCTATTCCCCCCTGCCCTGTTCCCCCCTGCTCAATACCCCCCTGCTCTATTCCCCCCTCCTCTATTCCCCCCTGCTCTATTCCCCCCTGCTCTATTCCCCCCTGCTCTATTCCCCCCTGCTCTGTTCCCCCCTGCTCTATTCCCCCCTCCTCTATTCCCCCCTGCTCTATTCCCCCCTGCTCTCGCCCCCCTTGCTCTCTCTCTTCTCACCTCCTCACTCCGTTTCCCCCTTGCTCACTCGGTTTTCCCATTGCTCATTCTCTTTCCCCCTGCTCACTCTCTTTCCCCATTGCTCATTCTCTTCCCCGCTGCTCATTCTCTTTCCCCTTGCTCATTCTGTTTCCCCCTGCTCATTCTGTTCCCCCCCTGTTCACTCCCTTCCCCCATGCCCACCCTCTTTCCCCCTGCTCACTCCCTTTCCCCCCTTCTCACTCTCTCCCCCCCTCCTCACTCTCTTTCCCCCCTGCTCAATGTCTCCCCTGCACTCTGTTTTTTCCTGCTCATTCTGTACAGGTCCCCAGCACCAGGTGTAGGGAGGGACCCACAAGTCCTGCTTTTTTGCTGCTGTGTATGCAGACAAGAGTGGGAAAAGACATATTATTGAGTAACTGACAAGGAAGCAACACGAAGAGGAAGAAATAAAAAGACACTCCTGGAACGGTAGGAGACAAACAGAAGGACGACCAGGGGAAAAGAGGGACAGAGAAACGGAGGAAGGGACGTATGGAGGAAGAGAGGAACAGAGGAAGGGAAGGATGGATGGGGAGGGAGGACGGGGGAAAGGGAGGACAGGCAGCACCACGTCTGCCTATGCTGTGTGACTCTGCCCACCGCCATCCACCCACAGCGGCCCAAGCAGCTCCCTGGTGCAGAAAAGCACAAGGGATGAAGAGGTGCCGCTGGGCCGAGGGCGGTGTGGGAAACACCTGGAGGGGAGGGTGAGAGGATCGGATGGGGAAAGGACGGATGGGGAGGGATGAGGAGAGGATGGATGGGAAGAGGAGGGAAGTGGTGAGGTGGGATGGGCGGATGGGGAGAGGACGGGAGCGGGTGGGGAGAAGAGGGGATGGTGAGAGGAGGGGATGGGGAGAGGAGGGGACGCGGTGACGAGGGAAGGGGGAAGAAGCGGATGTGTATAGGAGGAGATGGGTTGAGGAGGAGATGGGGTTAGGAGTATGGTGAATGGGGTATGGTGGAATGGTGAAAGTAGGCATGGGGAATGGAAGGATGGGGAACGGAGGGAGAGTGAATGACGGGATGGGGAAAGGAGGTCTGGGGAAACGAGGAAAGGGGGATGGGAAGTAGGATGGCAGGGCGAGAGGAAGGGATTGAGAGAAGGGGGGAGGAAGGGCGGAAGAGGGGGATGGGAAGTAGGAAGAGGTGGGAAATGGCGACGTATGACGATGCCACGGGGTGCGGCGGAGATGGGGTGAGGCATGGGGAGATGAGGGATGGGGAGGTGAGAGATGGGGAGGTGAGGGATGGGGAGATGAGGGATGGGGAGATGCGGGATGGGGAGATGAGGGATGGAGAGATGAGAGATGAGGAGGTGAGGCATGGGGAGGTGAGGGATGGGGAGATGAGGCATGGGGAGACGAGGGATGGAGAGATGAGGGAAGGGGAGATGAGGGATGGGGAGATGAGGGATGGGGAGACGAGGGAAGGGGAGATGAGGGATGGGGAGACGAGGGAAGGGGAGATGAGGGATGTGGAGACGAGAGTGTGGGGTGTGGCGTAGCAGGAGGAAGGAGAGTTGCAAGGCGCGGGGAGTCCCCATTCTCGTTAGAGGGGAGGGAGCGTGGGCGACGGGAGGGAGGGAGCGGTAGTAGTGACAGATGGGTGTGCGCGTACATGACGTAAGGGGAGTGAGCATGAGCGATGGGAGGGGAGTGAGCGTGGGCGACGGGAGGGGAGTGAGCGTGGGCGACGGAAGAGAGTGAGGAGGGGCGAAAGAGGCGTCGCGCAAAGGCGACGGGAGGGGAGGGAGCGTGATCGTGCGTCAGGAAGGAAGCGTGGGCGACGGGAGGGAGTGATCATCCTCTTTGGAGGGGAGTGCGCGAAGGCGACGGGAGGGGAGTGCGCGAAGGCGACGGGAGGGGAGTGCGCGAAGGCGACGGGACGGGTGTGCGCGAAGGCGACGGGAGGGAAGTGCGCGAAGGCGACGGGAGGGGAGTGCGCGAGGGCGATGAGAGGGAGTGAGCTATGGCGATGGAGGGAAGTGAGACATTGACGCGAGAATGGTCGCGTGGGCGACGGAGGGGAGTGAACATAGGCGACGGCGACGAGTAGCGTGCATTTTCAAACCAATCTACACATGGCTTCGCTTTCTAACCCCCTCCAAGCACCAAACTCGTGGTGCAGTGTCGCACAGTTGGGTGACGAATGCTGAAGCTCGTCGGTGCCTGGTTTCGCTTTCGCACCTGTTCAGCTCTCGAAATGTTTTTTTATGCCTTTCGCGAACACACTTAAAGCCCTTGCGTCACTACTGCAAAAACCATGCTGACTTCGGGCTTTAAGTGTCGAAATTCGAGACTGACACAAGGAACATATCAGAATTCGAATTTGTGCCAGTAAAAACTTGTCAGAATCCCAGTGTTATGAATGAACTTGCAGAGTGCGCAGTAAAACGCATAACGAGAATGACTGAGTACTGAATGACGATACCGTATTCTCCCGGATAAAACACCCCCCCGTAATTGTACACCCCCGGGTAGCTAATACGGGGTGGGTGTTATATGTCAGATGATTATATTACTGATGCATATATTTAGGCTGTAGTGGGGTAGCCCATAGGGGGTACAACCCAATTAGGGTTGGTACTTGTACTTGTTTCATTTCATAGTGCACTCATTCCTCGCCTCTATCTCATCATGGTATCGAGCAGGTTCCCTAGTGGGAACTGTTCTTAGGGCCCACCTACTATTCCGTCCTGCCCGGAGCGCGCTCTGCCCTAGCCCGAGTCGCGCTGGGCCTTTTTTTTTTCCTTTGGCGGCCCGATCGCGTCGAGCCGCCCGCGATTTTTTTTTGGCGCGCCACCTACGCGTCCTCGTCGCGCCGCCCCTAGATGGCCGCGCCGCGTCGCGCGTGCCGCCCTCCAGTCGCGCGCCGCCCCCTCTGACCCTCGCGACGCCGGCGCCGTCTCTGACGGCCCTGCGATCGCCTGCGACGGCCCCGCCGTCCCCTCTACCGGCCCCTCCACTGCACTTGACGGCCCCGCCGTCCCCTCTGCCGGCCCCGCCGCTGCACTTGACGGCCCCGCCGTCCCCTCTGACGGCCTCGCTGTCCCCTCTGCCGGCCCCACCGCTGCTTCAGACGGCCCCGCCGCTGCACCTGACGGCCCCGCCGTCCCCTCTGACGGCCCCGTCGCTGCACCTAACGGCCCCGCCGTCCCCTCTGACGGCCCCGCCACTGCACCTACCGGCCTCGCCGCTACCTCTGACGGCCCCGCTGCTGCACCTGCCGGCCCCGCCGCCTCATCTGCAGGCCCCGCCGTCTCACCTGCCGGCCCTGCTGCTGTACCTGACGGCCCCGCCGCTTCACCTACCGGCCCCGCCACTACCCCTAACGGCCCTGCAACTGCATCTCCCGGCCTCGCTGCCCCAGCAACTGTACCGCCCCAGCAGCCGAGCCGCCCCAGCAGCCGAGCCGCCCCAGCAACCGAGCCGCCCCAGCAGCCGAGCCGCCCCAGCAGCCGAGCCGCCCCAGCAGCCGAGCCGCCCGAGCCGCCCGAGCCGCCGAGCCGCCCGAGCTGCCCAGCAGCCGAGTCGCCGAGCTGCCCGAGCCGCCCGAGCTGCCCGAGCCGCCCGAGCCGCCCGAGCCGTCTGCACTGCCCTGTCTGGTGAGCACTGAGCTTTACTCTGCGCACTGCCCTCACCCTACTGCTGTCATGGCTACCCCCAGTGTCCTCACCTTCGACGCTGAGGGCAGAGCCATAGACTTTGACGTGTGGGTAGACGACCTGCTGCTTTTCCTACAGTGCGACAGAGCTGACGGCCTCTCTCTCTTTGATCTCACTTCTGGTGCCTCTCCCGCCCCTGCTGCTACTGAGGATGCCACTGTTCGCTCAGTGTGGGCCACACGCGATGCTGCTGCACGTCTTGCTGTGCGTCGCCACCTCCCTCCCTCTGAGCGTGCACACTTTGGGTCGTACAAGAGTGCTCAGACCTTGTACGACGCCGTTATTGCACGCTACTCCACCCCTGCCACTGCTGCACTGAGCCGCCTCATGCTACCGTACCTCTTTCCCGACCTTGCTTCCTTTGCCACAAACGCCGACCTCATTACCCACATGCGCACTAGTGACGCTCGCTTCCGCGCTGCGCTTCCTGCTGAGTTCTGCGCCAAGAACCCCCCCCCCCAGTACTTCACTCTCTACTACATTGTCGCCCACCTCCCTGACTCCCTTCGCGGAGTCAGGGACGACTTACTCTCAGTCTGCCCCACCACTCTCACTGTTGACCTCCTCGAGAAGTCCCTCCTAGAATCCGAGAAGAGCATTCTCGCTGTAGGGGCCTCTCGTGGTGACCCGCGCACCCCCATCTTTGAGGGGTGTTCCCCCTCCCCCCTCCTGCCCTCTGTCGCCTCTGCTGCTACGGCCGACCTAGTTGGTTTTGAGTCGGTCGGCGCGGCGTCTGCCCCCAGTGGGAGACGTCGCTCTGGCAAGGGCAAGGGGGGCAGGAGCAGTGGTGGCGGCGGCGGGGGCGGTGGAGGCAGCGGTGGAGGCAGCGAAGGAGGTGGGGGTGGTAGCGGGAGTGGTGGCGGGAGTGGAGGTGTCAGCGGCGGCAGTGGAAGCGGGGGTGGCAGCGGCGGTGGTGGTGGGAGTGGAGGTGGAGGCGGCGGTGGCGGCAGCGACGGTGGGAGTGGCGGTGGCAGCGGAGGTGGTGGCGGCGGCGGCGGAGGAGGCGGCGGAGGAGGTCGTGGCTTGTCGCAGAGGAGTGGCTCCGGTGGCGGTCAGCGCCAGCAGCAGCGGCAACAGTGTGGTCAGGAGACCCTCTCCCCACAGCAGCTCCGTGAGTGGTACACTGCACGTCAGAGGGGTGGGGGTACTGGTCCGTGCACCTACGTCTTGCGCACTGGCGACCGTGCGGGTGAGCCGTGTGGTGGTCCACACTCCGCCCAGCGCTGCTTCGGCCGCCTGACTGACGTGTGGTGGTCGGCCGCCTGACTGACGTGAGCCGTGTGGTGGTCCCTAGATACATGGACGTGTGGGGCCCAGCCCGCGTCCGTGGACAGGGTCACGAGCGCTACTTCCTGCTGGTGGTTGACGACTACTCGCGTTACACCATAGTCTTCCCCTTGCGCAGCAAGAGTGAGGTCATTGAGGTGTTGATCGACTGGATCCGCGCAGCTCGTCTCCAGCTCAGGCGGAGCTTCGGCTCGGACTTTCCTGTTTTGCGTCTGCACTCGGACAGAGGCGGAGAGTTCTCCTCCGGCCTTCTGCGAGCCTACTGTCGGGCACGAGGCATCCGCCAGACCTTCACGCTTCCGGACTCTCCACAGCAGAATGGGATTGCTGAGCGCCGCATCGGCATTCTCATGGACGTCGCCCGTACGTCCATGGTGCATGCGGCTGCCCCCCATTTTCTGTTGCCGTTTGCGGTTCGGTACGCCGCGCATCAGATCAACCTTCAGCCCAGGGTCTCCAGACCAGAGACCTCCCCAGCTTTGCTGTGGACGGGGAAGGTTGGCGATGCGTCGGCGTTCCGTGTCTGGGGATCTCGGGCATTTGTCCGCGACTTGTCTGCGGACAAGCTGTCTTCTCGTGCTACTCCTTGCGTCTTCCTGGGTTTCCCCCCTGACGCACCTGGGTGGCAGTTCTACCACCCCACCTCTCGTCGTGTTCTGTCCTCCCAGGACGTCACGTTCGACGAGTCGGTTCCCTTCTACCGGCTCTTCCCCTACCGCACTCCGTCCCTTCCCCCCCCGCCCCTCTTCCTGGTCCCAGGTCCCCCCCCGGTAGACCCCCTCCCCCCTCAGGGTCCTGCCCCTTCAGGTGTGTCTCAGGTAGACGCGGTCGAGCCTGTCGAGGTCACTGGTGACTCTGGTGCTGCTGCGGGTGCGGAGCCTCGGGGTGCTGAGACGGGGGGTGCTGAGACTGGGGGCGCTGAGCCTGGGGGTGCTGAGACTGGGGGTGCTGAGCCTAGGGGTGCTGAGCCTGTGGGTACTGAGCCTGGGGGTGCTGAGACTGGGGGTGCTGAGCCTGGGGGTGCTGAGCCTGAGGGTACTGAGCCTGGGGGTGCTGAGCCTGGGGGTGCTGTGCCTGGGGGTGCTGAGCCTGGGGGTACTGCGTCTGGGAGTGCTGCGCCTGCTGCTTCTGTTCCTGGTGGTTCTCCAGAGCGTTCCTCACGCCGCGAGCCGCTCTCTCCTCTGGAGCTGCGTGAGTGGTTTGCCCGGCGCTGGAGGCTAGCTGCTGGAGCTGGGGGTACTGCGGGTGCTGGAGGTTCCGTTGCTGCCGAGGGAGCTGGTACCACGGGTCCCGGAGGTGCTCGTACTGAGGGTACTGGAGCTGCCGGGCCCGGGGGTGCCTCTGGAGCTGGAGCTGCTGCGGGTGCTGGCGCTGAGGCTACGACTGTCGGTCCTACTGCGGGTACTTCTGCAGCTGCTGGTGGTGCTGGAGTTGGAGCTGCTACTGGTGCTAGTGCTGCCTCTGGAGGTGTTGATGCTGTCCCTGCTGTCTCTGGCGGTGCTGCGCGGCCTCGGCCGTACTTCGTTCCGCTCCTTCAGCAGGTTCTTGGTCTCCCGCCTTCCACTAGTCCTTCTCCTCCCGTAGAGTGTCCG